GGTGGCGGGGAGGGCCCGCGATGGGCCGCGGCGGGCCGGCGGAGGAGGCGGCGCGGGGAGGCCACGTGGCGCGCTCCCACTAGCTGCGGGCGGCGGCTGCGGCGTGTCCGGCCGGAACGGACACGTCCGGCGCGGCGCGAGGTGGATTTAGGGTTTCGGAGAGGGAGAGAGATCCGAAAATGGAGGGGTCTTTATATAGGCATAGAGAGAGCTAGGAGAGTCCAAATGAGGTGCGGTTTTCGGCCACGCGATCGTGATCGAACGCTCTAGGTGATGGAGCAGAGTTAGGTGGGGTTTGGGCCAAATTGGAGGGGTGTTGGGCTGCAACACACACAAGGCCTTTTCGGTCCCTCGGTTAACCGTTGGAGTATCAAACGAAGTCCAAATGGTACGAAACTTGACAGGTGGTCTACCGGTAGTAAACCAAGGCCGCTTGACAAGTCTCGGTCCAATCCGGAAATGTTTAAACCCCACACACGAAAGAAAGCTAGAAATGACCACCGGAGGAGAACGAAGCGCCGGAATGCAAAACGGACAACAGGGAAAATGCTCGAATGCATGAGACGAACACGTATGCAAATGCAATGCACATGATGACATGATATGAGATGCATGACAACGACAACAACACACGGAGACAAAAACCCGAACCCGAGAATATAAATATAACTTAACGCCGGAAACTGCAAGAGTTGGAGTACAAATTGGGAAAGTTATATCCGGGGCGTTACAATACGCCACTACTCCTTGTGAATACGGTTGAACACATGTCTCGCCATCCAGAAGCGTCGCTAGAAAATCTTGGGATTTTAGAGTGGGGACGTGCACTAAAAATAATCACTAAAGAGTAGGCAATGGTCGCTCTCTCTATTGTGATTCAGCACCGGAGCATGGCCCGAGATCGCCCCCCTAAACCTTGGCCGCTGCCTAGAAGTGTGATCAATGATATTGATAACCATAGTAGCAACCACAAGATCCTCATCATCGTATGATGAATCGTCCAAGGAACATATGCCGATATTGTAAAAGAACTTATCCCCGATGTCCATGGTACCTTGTGGGCAAATGGTTGAAAACCTTGCGCGTGGTGAAGCTTTCAGGCATGGTGGAGTAGCGCCCAGAGAAGGGCACCACATGCCCCCCGTGCAGGCAGCATGCCTATCTAAGTCTACGCCGCCGACGAAGACCGTGGAGGCGAGGGGCGATGCCGGTGGCGGTGAAGGGCCATGTCTTCTCGTGCTACAGCTGACGACGAGGAGTGGCCGCAGACGCCGGCAAGGGGTGGGCCTCGATGGATGCGGTGTGGCAATGGGGAAGTGGGTGGATGCATGCGGTGGCGGCCTAAGTAGTGTCCAAGCGGCCGGAAGTGGGTGGTTGTGGCGAGGCGAGGGAGTCGAGCGTGGAGTGGGGAGGAGAAGAATGGTTGATGTGCCACCGACGGACGGGCCAGGGAAGGATAAGGTAGGGCATCGCAAACGTCCGCGTTGACGCAAACCCGACCCAAATTTTCTTCGGAAATGGGTCACAACGGACGAAAAAACAGACGCCCATCCATTTGCGGAGGCGTGTTGGGCTGTCATTTCTGTCCATTTTGACTTAAACAGATGTGCGCGGACCAATGTGGACCTTCCACCTCTCACTCTTGGCAAAAAGCTTAATAAGCAGATCAATTTTTTTATTTTTTCGGAAAAGGGGAAAGACCCCGGCCTGTGCATCTAGGCGATGCATGCAGCCACTTTATTAATTATTCACACAAGAATAAGCAAATCAATGGGCTTGTAAAAAACCTCATCGATGATCCATCACACAGCTAGTAAAAATAGGCAATGTAGCTCAAACTTAGGGTTGTACATGCTAGCTATGTAGTGCATGAATCATGGTGGTTGCATGCGTGTGCTACTAGAAATCACACCGGTTAAAAATGACCGCGCAGCTAGAATGAGCTAGCTATCTTTTTACTGAATGTAATATGTCATGTGTGTGTGATGAGCTTCACTTGCACATTTGTGCATCTGCCATGCCAGCGAAAGGAAATTGTGCATCCCATTGCGTTGCCAGCCAAAGACTGAGATCATCACATGCTAGCTCATGTCTGTGTGTGGCTGCTCCACACGTCGTGGTGGGCGCCCACGCGGTGTTGCTTTGCTCTGCGCCCCGGCTCTTAAACAGCTCCACACCACAGCTCCACACTCCACAGTCCACGCCACAGCTCCAAGCCTCCAACACCACCACTTCGGCGATCACCGACGAGCGACGGTGAGTCTCCATCCCCTCCCCCTCCGTCTCGCCGTTCGCTCGACGGATCTGTGCTTTTCTCGTCGAAATCTTTCTTCTTCACCGCACGCTTGCTTGTTCACAGACCATGGACGCCAAGAAGCCGATCCCGGCTGCCGTCCAGCGGGCCATCGACTGGGCGCTCGTCACTGCCTGCTTCCCGTTCGTCTCCTTGGCGTTCGCCTACGCGCTCGTCCGCTACGACGTCAGCTGCAGCGAGGTACGTCACGTGACTACGACCCCTTGCTTGCATACAGACTTTCCGAACCTCCGGTCGATTGAACATGCGCCATGGTGTTCGTCCTGCAGTGCGTGGTGGCGTTGACGGACGCGCAGAACGCGGAGGTGGGTGCCCTCTGGTTCGGGATGCTGTGCTGCGCCGTGCTCCAGGCTGCCGCCGCGGCGCTGGCGCTGCTGCTCCCGTGCGGCCGCCGCGCCTGTTAGATAATCAGCTGCACTCTTGCTATCTTCAGTTAGTTCAGAAACTTCAGTTAGTTCAGTTTCGTTTTCTCTGAATAACACTGACCGTCAGCGTGTGCCTGTACACGTACTAGTTCAGTTAGCATTCTGTTAGGTAGTTAGCTAGTCTTCAGCTCGCCGTAGGGATCGCCATGGGATGGCATGGATTACGCATTCCTCTGCGCGAGCAAGTAGGGCTCATGCACGTCCGAGCGTCGTGGGATGGCACGACCTGTAAGCTCGGCGAGCACGACCAGTTCTTAGCTGTTTTTCAGGAACTCCAACGGGGTTCAGATAAATAAGAACAGAAACAGAAAAGCTGCAAGTTTGTTACGCAGCGCAAACCACTGTCTTCCACCTCGTGTTCTCTCTCTCTCATTCGCGTTTGCTGGTCATCTGCAACTACAGCGCCCTCGCCCACCTCGCACTCGCGGTCACCATCGTCGGCCACTACATGTACGCCGTCGTCTTCTGCCTCCTCCTCGCCGCCGGCGCAGGATTCCTCTTCAGCAATATCTTCGGCCCCGCGAGCATCGTCTTCTTCGCGGGCGGCGACCTCGTCTACTTCCTGGGGCTCCTTCAGGGAGGTGGACTGAATGACTGATGAGCCGATTAGTCCATCTAGCTGCACCTGCAGAGGATCAGCTCGTGAGGAGTTGAGGACTGGCTGATGATTATGTGTGAATCTAGTACGTACTAGTGTAGTTCAGTGTTAATTGGACTGATGAGTGATGACTGATGACTGATGAGCAGGGCAGCTGATTACTTCAGCTGTACTAGTAGTGTAGTGTTAATTTGTGTAAATCAGCATGCGCAGAACTGGATCTTGTACTCTACTAGTTAGAATATATGCGTTGGGTAATGGGGGCTATATAGTTACCCTGGATTACGGTCGTCTTCGATGTAACATCCACCTTAATTTTATATGCAGTATGATCAGACATCCAGACATCAGGACGTTAATTATATCCAGCATTCCAGCTTCCGTATGATTAATGTTGGTGACATTGCTGCTACGTGCTCATACAATATATCTACTATTATTATATTAATTGCCCCAGTTCGGAAATACATGATGTGGTTTTAGTTTAAATTGAACTAGTGTTTTTTATTTGGATAACAGAACATGCACGGTCTCGTTCGTGCAATTTTCTTCTGGCTAGACGAGAGTACGTACTAGCAAGTCGCTGCACTGACTTTTGTTCTTCACGGTGACGGTGAGAGGGCCAGATGCTGTGGTCGCTGCTGCACTAAATATCTGGTCGCTGCTGGGACATAAAAAATAGATGGATAGATGCATGCATTTGCAGTTTGTGCTTGTTTAGTTTGGCCATCTTGATATGTTGCTTCTAGTTGTAGTCCCCTGGCTGAATTTTAAGAACTGAGATAGGATAGGAGGGGTATCTGCAGTGTGCTCTCTAGTCTAAAATTCAGAGCTTGCCTACAACACTACCTGCGTTTGGAACAAGATCTGATTCAGAAGTTGATGGCCCCGGAACTGGCATCTACAGAAGAATTAGCAGATGTAAAAAAAGTATTGTATATCAATGAGACGTGGGCATTTGCGAGCTTTCGGTGATGACAAGTTTATCTTGTATGTCCGCCATCAGGGTAGCGCATTGTGTCGAGGGGATAAGTGCACATCCGATGCATCATGGTAGTTAGCGTTGTTATCCCATTTTAGGAGCCAATTTTCACTTGATTTCCTATGCCAGAATTCCACTTGATCAATTATAAACACTTTGATGCGCATATGTATCCTGATATGAATTGGCACAAACTGCATTAATTTAATGGTTCAACTTGGGTTGATGATCTAATTATGTCACAGATTCTCCAAGGTTAACTTGGTGCTAAAGATAAATTAGTTGTTGTAGCAAAAATAGTATAGAGGCATGGTAATTTGATATGTGAGCATGTGACGGATTACTATGCTAGGATCTTGATATATTTTTTATTGTTAGATGCTGCATTTCCCATGTGTTCACAAGAGATTATGCAATGACCATATCACTTTGTTAAAGCAAGGCTTTATGGTTTTTAGCGTTTAGGGTTAGGGTTTACAACAACACCTGGATTGTTACCTTTAGAGCAAAGATAATTCTTGCAGGGGAGCCAATGTCTTCTCGGACAAAATAAATAGAATGACTTAGGTTTATTGTCCTCGCCTAGAAATTATCAAAACTTGTGAAAAGATAAAAAGATATAAGCTCGCTCACGATAATGCCTTGAAAGCACGTGTTTTTTGGGAAGCACATGATGGCTCACCACTTTATGTCTTGGTGGTGGCAATGCCATCAATCGCCATCACCTTCTTTCTTCCTTTGACAGGCTTTTTGAGTAAATCACAAGGGTCAAGCTGACCATGCTGACCTTTAGAGCCCCAGCATGTAAATTTAAGTTGAGGTTGCATCTCTCCTTTAATCATTAACCATTAATCATATTTATTCGTGCCCATTTGCATCTCTCCTTTGGCGAATTGTGTTTGTTGCATTCAATATGCCATCACACACAATAATCATAAATATGCCTCTGCATAGTTTGCGTTGTGTTCATCCTAAACTTAAGGCCCAAATTCAAGTGGGGATATAGTTTGCGGTGTAGTAGGAACTGTGACACAACTCGACACGACCACCATCAAAGTGCCCTGAAGGCGCGTCGTGCATGGCGCACAATGACATACATCATTGAGATGTGGGAATTGCGAGCTTTGGTGATGACCTGTTTATCTTGTGTGTCCGCCATCGGGTTAGCACATGTAGGGACACATGCACATTTAGTGGATAACCCCAATTAAGCGTTATTATCCCATTTAAGGAGGCAATCTTCATTTGATTTCCTAAGCCATAACTCCATTAGATGAATTATAAAACATATTTACAACTTGATGTCCATATGTACCCTGATCTGAATTTGTGCGCAAGCTACATTAATTTAATGGTTAAAGTTACGCTAATGATCTTGTTATGTCATACATTCTGTGAGCCTCAATTGGCGCTAAACAAAGTTTAGTGGTCCTAGCAAAACTAGGTTAGAGGCATGATCATTTGAGATGTGAGCATGTGGGGAACTAATATGCTAGGATCTTCCGTGTGTTCAAAAGAGTTTAAGAATTGATCAACTCACTTTGTTAAAGCAACTAGCGTGGGTGGTGCAGGAACGTCCAAATTGTTAAAATTTTAAGGCAGAGCTAATCCTGCAGAGGAGTCGGTCTCTTTCCGGACAAAGTAAACACAAAGAAGGAAAAATAATAGAGAATGACTTTAGTTTATTGTCCTTGTGTAGAAATTATAAAATGTTATGAAAAGACTGAAAATTAAGCTCAGTAAAGACAATGCCTTGAAAGCATGCTTTGTTGGGAAGCAAATGATGGCTCGCCAGTTTATGCCATGATGGAGGCATGCCATAAATCATGATCACCTTTTTACACGATTTTTCAGTAGATAACAAGGGTCAAGATGAGCATCCAAACCTTTGAAGCCCCACCAACCATTCACAGCAAAGATAAATCATAATACGTAATGTAACTCATAGTTAAGGTTGACAAAGATATTTAGAAGAAACAAACGATTCAGCAAAAAATGCCATAAGGCCAACGCGCAACCCCATTTGGTCCGCACGAATCTGTTTTGACCCCAACGAACAAATGCGACGGCCCAATGCGTGACCCCAACCGTAAATTTTGTCCGTTTGGCATCTGGCTCGCCCTGTTTCTAGTGCAAACTTTCGCCGGCCCGGTATGCGTCCAGACAAACAACAACCGGACGTCCATGCTCCTGCTCCTCGTCCGCCTCGGGTACGCCTATCGGCCTCCCTCCTACCTCCCACCGCCCGCATTTACGGACCACGCGTGGGCGGACCCGCCTGTCAGCCCGTCGGCCGAACGGTCCACATCGTTTTTAATGTAGTAGTCCATACCGGCGAGTCCACGGACTTCCACAGTCGGTGACGCATGCCTCCTCGATCTCTGACATGCTCAAAACCTAGCCTCCGGCCTCCACCTAGCTCTCCTCCACTTTTCCACTAGCCGCCATGGGCCTGCATTGATCTGCGGTAACGGAAGCACAACCGCGAGGCCGGGTCCTCGATCGGCCGCAACCGCAGCCGCTCCACCCCTCCTCCAACTCCTGTGGCGTTCGACTTCATGCCGCCGCCGGCCACGACTCACGTACGATCGTGTGTGAAGGCGGAGATCTGCAAGCGGTATTGGGGACGCGCACGCCGCTGCCGTGGAGCGACGGGCACCTCTGGGCGGACCGCGTGGCCAGTCTTCGAATCCCAGTCGGCGGCCGCGCTCACCGTGAGGAGATCAACCGCCGCCGCGCCCGCCTGCCCCCCCGACCTCCTCCATGACTCCGGGTACGTCGTGGATTCACCCCTGTGGGATATGTGGCTCGGGAAAAGCACGACTTGCGGCAGTAGTCCTACTTCGCTGGTAGCCCGCCACGAGCGCGCTCTGACAGCCGCTCGCGCGCTGTCAGCCCGCCCCAGCCGCGCGGTCGTACGCGCCTCCGTGGGGGCCCGACACCGTCCCCGCGTCGTGTCCGCCACCACCACCTCCCATGACGGCCGAGGAGGGGGAGGAGCTCGTGCGGCGTGTTCTTGAGGACTCTGTCCACGACCACGACGAGGCCTAGTGGGAGGGGTTGGAGGAGATGATGGCCCTCTCCTCCGCAAGAGATGTCGCCATCCTCCCGGAGTTGGAGGCCGTCAAGGATGAGTCGGTCAAGGAGGAGGTGGTCAAGGAGGAGGACGCCATCGACCCACGGTTTGCGGCAATGGTGGGGCAGAGGTGGGCGTGGACGGACACGGTGTCGTGCGCGCCGGATTACGTGCCAGTGCCGCCCTCGTGGGTGGGCACCGAGGCGTAGTCGCCGACCCTACCACAGGAAGAGGTTGTGCAGGCACCTCCGGCCATGTAGTCACTGCAGGGGCCGCCTGCCCACCTCTGGCAGCCACCACTGTACATCGACCTCATCAAGGACGATGAAGAGTAGGACGACAGCGCATAGAGGATGACGACGACGGTGCCGGCAAGTTTATCTTTTTATGTGAAGTTTAATGTGTGGCCCCTACTTGTTTGAGCGGTTTTAATTTTATTGTGCTATGTAATTAAGTTTATTGGATGTCTTTAAATATGAGGCTGACTTTTTCTTTTTTAACGTCTAAACCAGATAATTTGCGATGCAGCCGCCCGGGTGGTTGCGCTAGCAGCGGACGGCCGGGCGTCCGTTTACCGGATTCAAACAAACAAAATTCAGACAAAACAGATATCCATTTAAAAACGGTGGCTGGAGTTGGCCTAAATGATTGATGAGCCACCCCCACCCCGTCGTTTAGAGTGGTGCATGTATGCATGGGTATGCTCATGGAAATCGCACGCGCTAGTTGAAAATGGCCGCAGCAAATTGAAATGAGCATATGTGCATGTGTGCGCGTGATGGGCTCCCCCGACGAAGCTTCCCCGTGGTTTCCTCTGTCCAACGTCACTGCCATGCCCTGCTGAGACGTACGAGACCATATATTTTTTTTTTGAATGTTAGCAGGAGAGCTGCCAAATTCATTGATCAGAAAGAAGCATTACAAGTAACACTCCCAAGGAGGAATGCACCGCATAAGACGAGTGCTGAAAAAGAAGAAATGAAAAGGGATTGCTCAGTTTATCAAGGAAAACCGAGCAAAAACCTAAACAGCGCCTGATAAGACTAGGCCTAAAGCACCACAACACCTACAACACGTCAGAAGGCCAACACCCCACAACACACCCGGTCCGGCACTCGAGCGCTCTCGCCGCTACCAAAGTGCACACCTCAAACCGTTGTATCAATCCGGGCTGCCACTAGCATATCCGCGAAACTCGACGACATCAAAGAGGAACGCTATGTCCGATAGAGCAAACATATGCCGCTTCGATCCCGCGAACTTGGCTGACAAACTCGCCTGACGCACTCTGCATGTGAAGGGTGCTTCTGCTGCTCTCACGGAGATGCTACACGAGCCGTCGCCAACCACCTACACGAGCACTGAGTCTCTCTGACTGAGTCTATCTTCAAGACGATGTCCTCAAGAGGAGACACGACACCGAGCAAAGCCGTTAGCATCGTCATCGTCCGACCCGGAAAACCGGATCTAGAGTTTCCCCCGGAGAATGTCAGGCAAGGGAAGGGAGGGACTGCACAATCGATGCCTCCAACAAGGAGACGACGCCCATAGGCGCCGCCATCGATTGCTCCGGCCACAACCGGACCACGGCTTTCACCGGCAGCCACACCCACCCAAACCTGTAGCCCAACCAGCTCTTCCTGCATACCAAATCCAAGGCGCACAAGCACAGTTCACATCTCGGCCGCGCCCAGGAGGTCGCCGGCCAGCTACCCTGACAGATCTGGAGGCATCTCGAGCCGCGCCCCTAAGGTCGCAGGCTAGCCTCCACGGTAGATCCGCACCTGGGAAGCCCCCAACGCGCCGAGAAGCAAGCCAGTCGGCAGCCCAGCAACAGGCCCCGACCCCTGACTCCCTCTCGCCCGCCTCGCGCCAGCGCCGCGCAACTTTGCACCGCGTTCGCGCACGCGCGGCTCAGCGCCTCGCCAGCTCTCGCGCAGCACCGCGCCGACGACGCCACCTCCCTCCTCCGCCTCAGCGCCCCCCCGACGACCGCGTTGCCCACCCGCCGCCCAGGCCCGACCGCACCAAGCCGAGCCCAGCACCTCCTAAGGCGAGCCGCCCCCGCGCCGCTCGAGGCCCTTGCAGAGATGGAGCTACCCCGCCGCCGCCCTCCGGCGGCAGCGAGGAGGTGAGAGCGAGGAGAGGGGGGTGGTGGCGGCGGCGATCTAGGGTTCTCCCGGGCCGCTGCCGGGAGCGGCACGGGAGCAAAACTGCATTTTTTGTCACGGCCGCTGCCGGGGCTACTAGCTGAGCTGTGTTCATCGACTCTGCTGCGCTGGCTTTTGCTGCTGCCCTGCCAAGCTAGCCAGGCCAGCTAGGGAAGGGAAGCGGGCGCGTCCCATCCCATCCGATCGAAACCAGTCACCGTCGTCGTCGATCCCCTCTCCCCTCCCATCCCATCCGTCCTAGCTACCTAGTGTGTAAGCTTTCCTCGCTGAAATCTTCTTTATTTCCCATCTTCTTTCCTGTCCTGTCCAAGTTAAGCTACGTTTCTGTCGCGACTGGAAAACAATAGGGAACTACTCCCTCCGTCTTAAATATTTGTTTTTTTTAGAAATTTTAAATTGACTATCACATACGGATATAGACATATTTTAAAATGTATATTCACGCATTTTGTTCTCTATGTAGTCACTTGTTGAAATCTCTAGGAAGACAAATATTTAGAAACGAAGGGAGTAATTACATAGTAACATTGTGAAAATGCATAGGAGCACCTGCGGGCTACCCACCTTGATATCTCACCATTTAATATGCATAGGGATTTGCACAGCTATATTAGCATGCTTGTATTCTTTGTTATAGTTCATTTCATGTTCTCTGTATAAGTAGTATAAGGAGATATTCTCCTGACCCACTCATCCTCGTCCTCTCGTGCCAACCCCCAACAACCAACAACGACATCATCATTAACTTGTGAATCACATGCATGCAAATTTTGTTGATCTCAGAGTTTTGAATCATCCAACACATTGTCCCAAGTTTTTTAAATGTAATATTATTTGAACTCTAAAAATATCTTGAAAGATAATAAGCGTTCCTACCCCCTCGAGGGGAGCCGCGTCTCGTATATATTGATG